AATATTTCCTAATATCTCATCTGACCCTCCCCTGGCACAGCTTGAGGCTGTTTCCTTTCCATTTCCTCTCCATCCCTCCCATTCAGGACAATGCAGACATCCCAGGGAGGCACCAAGTGTTGACACTGCAATTTCTTTGAGGAACTGGGCTGAAAGTCAAATCATGTAGAATTGGAAAGCAGGGATCCTAGAACTGAATGAGCTGGATGGTTTTCTGTTCTCTTTTTGATGCCTCATGGGTTCAGTCTTGCTGTCTGAATAAACTTTTGGAGTGTTTAAATACAAAAAATAACCCTAAACCCTTCTCTTGTGGCAACTGAGTGTCCAAAATTCTGATTTTTACCTGTTCAGTCTCTTCCTGCACATTGAATTCATCACACCTTAATGTTCTTTTAAATTTTTTTTTAAACTAGTCCTGCTCAAATTGATTCTTGTATGGATTTGTTGTTTTAATTAATTGGTTCTATGGATTGAGTCTAAATTGATTCTGTTAGATGAAAGATTCTCTGCTTGGTTTTGGTTTTTTTTTTGTTGTAGTGGATTTTCTTTTTGTCTTTAATGAAAGAACGCAGCGAAAGGGAAGGAAAATAAGAGAAGAATGGTTGGAATATCACTGAATGGTTTATTAGTCACTGTTTACATGCCTGAACTGTGTAAAATATCCCAAATATCCCCTGATTTCCTTCCACAGGACTGGTGAGTAATGTGGTTTTCACAAGTCATGCCACAGAGCAGAGGCACCCACTGCTGGTGCAGCTGCAGAGCCTGATCAGAGCAGCAAATCCTGGAGTTTCCTTCATCCTGGCAGAAAATGGGATTGTAACAAGGTAACTTCCAGCAGGATTTATTGCTTTTGGCACGTGGGCCACCGGCACTCAGAAATTCTGTTCTCATGTTTTTTACCGTGGTGATTTATAGGAAGGAAATGCAGATTTTTTCTTAATTGCTTCTCGTGCAAAAGGGATTTTCCCTTTACGTTTATGGGCATATAAATACAGGGATTAGGAAATGTGTTTTGTTTGCAGAGGGTGATTTATGTTGCTGTTACTGCCATACTAAAGGAAAAGTGCTCTTAATTTTACTGTCACTAGCACATTATGTTTTAATGTAAGTAGATAGCGGCCATTTTATTTAACTTAGAAAATGAAAAATCTTCATTTTTATCTCTTTACAGGAACGAGGATATTGAACTAATTCTCTCAGAAAGCAGTTTTTCAAGTCCTCAGATGATGAGAGCTCGATATTTAATGTACCCTGGCTGGCAAGTATCTAGACTGAGAAGTATTAAAACTATTTTTCTAATTAACTTGAAGATTAAAATGTTTCACTAACTTCATTTATATATATATTTTTTTTTTTCCCCGAGACTACTCATTTGGAACAGGCAGCAGCTTTGTAAATCATTTTTAAGAGAGCTGATGATTATTCTTAGTGGATACAAGATTGCTGCTTTTTTATGGGGGGAAAAGCTCCTTTTTGGCCACCATTTAAATCAACGGCAAGATTACTGTTGCTTTCCAAAAGAATAGGCAAGAACCCTGTGGGAATAAACTGGGAAGGATTGGGATGGGTGAGGTCAATAATGACTGGAGTAATTTCATCCTGACAGCTATTCAGCATTACTGGAATGAACTTGCTCTGTCAGTCTGGCCATTAGCAGAGCAATTATTCACAAAAACCAGGAACCTCAGTGACAGCCCTGGCACAGCTCAGCCACAAACCCACGTGGCACCAAATCTCCCCTGAACTGAGATTTCCCCTGGCTCAGGGCTCTTCACACATCTTGTTGCAATTCTTTCTGCTGCACCTTTTTGGCAGAAATTCGCAGCTCTCAGCACTCATAACTCCTGGCTGACCAGGCTCTGTGCTGGAAATATCATTCATTTATCATACCTTGCAGTCTGTATTTCTTTATTAATAAAATTGGTTCTGAATTGGATGCAAGTAGCCAAGTAAAGCTACTGGAGTGAAGCACAAGGCTTGGGGTGAGGATATTGAATTAATATCATCAGAGCTGCTTGTGATTGCATGGAGCCAAAGACAGAGAGCAGGAAAAGAAAATATTTCAAACTTTTGGGCAGCTGTTAGTCTGTTTGATGGCAGTATGCAAGAATTGGATCTGGGTTGTGTGGAAGAGAAGGAAAGCAGCAGGAAGAGCATCAAAAGCATCCAGGGAGATCTTATTGCAGCCTTGCAGTGCCTAAAGAGGGCTCAGAAAAAAGGAGAAATGTGAGTTTTTACATGGGTAGATGGTGATAGGACAAGGGAGAAGGGTTTTAAGCTAAAGATAAGATGTTAGGGCAAATTCTTCCCTGTGAGGGTGCCCAGAGAAGCTGTGGCTGCCCCTGGATCCCTGGGAATGTCCAAGGCCAGGTTGGACAGGGCTTGGAGCACCCTGGGCTAGTGAAAGATGTCCCTGCCCATGGCAGAGGTGGGAATGAGATGATTTTTAAGGTCCGTTTTGACTCAAACCAATTCAAAACTCCATGAAAAGGAGTCCCGAGTGCTTTGACAAACCCGATGCTGTTGGCAGCACTTTTTCACAGAGGAGAAATCTCTGTATTTTCCTTCCTGTGGTGAAAGAGCAGATGTTTTTTGCTGGGTGAGAAGCAGAAGCTGCTGTGATTTCTGTGTGTTGAAGGTGTTTGTTTTTGTGTGCAGGTACGAGGGCAGGTATGGGGCTGGGCCCGTGTTCCCTCCCATGGTTCAGATCTGTGTGTGGTTCAGCCGCCCTCTGGAGAAAACAAGATTTGTCACCAAATGCAAAGGTACCAATGAACTTTGCCTGACTTGATTGAAATCCAAGTTTGGGATGCTGAGGGATGGAGGGGAAGGAAGGCACTGACGTAACACAGTTATTTAATCACTGCTGAAGTTAATTTTTAATTGAAAACTCAGCTTTCCTTCCTAAAAGTACAGTAAATTCTGTTCCTTAGTGTCAGCTCTGGAAAATTGTCCCATGATTTTTGTTCAGATGAAAATCTAATTGAATTTTTTGGTTTCTAGGACTGAGACAACTTCCTGTCTTTGCTTTTTTATTTTGTGTCTCATTGTATTTGGGAGTGTTGAAATACAGTTTTATAAGTCACCATCAGCTTCTACTTTTTATGCCAAATAATTCTTTGTAGCTCCTAGAAAACAGACTCAGCTCTAGAGTAGATACATTACCAAACCTCTCCTCTGCTTAGCCAAGTAGTGTTAAAGAGGATTTTACCTCCCACACACACTGTGAGAGTTCCTTATCCCAAACACAACTTATTTCCCAAGCTCCATGGCAAAGAATGAGAAAATAAATGTTACATAGTGAGACTCCAAGGCACATGGCAGCTTTTCCTTTGGAAGCACTGGGATGTGGATTAGGGATCAGTTGCACAGGTTTTACCAGAAGCTCCACCAAAGAGAAGAAAAATGAGTTGAGATAATCTGTTTATCTTCTGTTTCAAACAGCAATTAAGTCGTTGCTCAAGCCAAGTCCTTTTTCTGGAAACATTTATCACATCATGGGCAAAGTGAAGTTTTCAGGTAAGGGCAAATCACTCTGAGGTGTTGTGATCACACTGCACCTTATGGGTGTTTAAAAAAGAATTTCTGTCCTGGATTCTGTCTGCACCAGTGTTGATGTTAGATTAGATTGGCAATTTTCAGGCTCTTCCTTCTGTCTTCTCCTTGTTAGATGCTGATAAAGTCATTGAAGTGTGTCACAACACAGCAGCAAATTCCCTGAGCCTGGTGCCTGTTCCAGAGGGGCCAACTCCTCCTGATCCCAGAAATGATCCCAGAGACTGCAGCAGTCAACAGGAATATTTCCTTGTGTTCATTGGCTGCTCCCTGAAGGAAGAGGATATCAAAGATTGGCTCAGAGAAACTGCAAAACAGGTTTGTGGGCAGGTTTTCCTTTTGTTCAGTGCTTGGCATTTCTTAACAACCAAAGGAAAAAAAATGAGTGGCTCAGTGAAATGTTTGGGTTTCTTAATTAATCTTTTTTTTTTTCTTCTACCAAGGTATTGACATTCTAGGGTGCAAATGGATTTCAGGAAGGGGACTAAGAGTTTACAAATGTGTGTTGTAATCTCTGTATTGTTTTAGTGCTTGCTACAGCTTATTCATGGATTGATTTGCTCTTGAATGCTTGAGCAAATGGATTATGTCCAGGATAAACACAGGATGATTTAGCTGAGCTGTGATTGCCAAGGGCTGAAGTGTGCTGTGAAATAAATCTTCTTCCAGTACCTGAATGCTGGCAAAGCTGAAAATTTGTTTTGATTCACTAAATTAAACCTCCTTGGAAGTAATCCACTGAAATGGAGGGTAGAGTCCTGTTCATTTTGTCATCTTTAATTAGTGTATTTCTGCATGGCTGATGTATCCATGCAATGAGGAGTGAGGAACAGGGAATGTGGTGTTGCAGGGAGCTCAGAAGGCAGAGTTTGCACAGAGGGATTGCCACAGCTGAGTGACAGAATCACAGATCCATAAAATCCTGCAATGGTTTGGGTTGGAAGGGACCTTAAATCCCATCCAGTTCCACCCCACTGCCATGGGCAGGGACAACTTCCACCATCCCAAATTGTTCCAAACCCTGTCCAACATAGCCTTGGACACTTCCAGGGATCCAGGGGCAGCCACAGCTTCTCTGGGCAACTTTTTGGAACATTTGTAAGTTAAAAAATACTGCATATTACTTTTATATGGATTAGGAGGATTTGCACACAAAAATTTGTGTAGGAAGAGAAAAAGTGTTTCCTGCAGACTGTGGCTGGAGCAGTTGCGAAGTTTCCAAGATTTCTGAGGTTTTTGAATTTCTGAGATGCTCAGGTTCTTATCTTCTGTTCCCCTGTGTTAATTCAGGGAATTAATCCATTTTCTGTGCTGATTATCTCATGCTCTGTATTTACCACAGGGGTAAAATATGGAGACAAATGCTTTGCCATGTAAGAAGGCTCTTGGTGGAATACTACTTAAATTTTATGAAAACTTGGAACTTAAATGCTTATCTCAAGTGTGAAGTGTTTCCTCTTTGAGCAATTCAGGACTATAAACACTTTTTGTACAGTCATGGCTAATTGAGGGTTTCAGATAGCTCTAAGAGTTACCACATGCTGCAGGAAAGAAAAGAATTACAGAATTTCTCAGGCTCAAAATGAAGTTGTTTTTCTGTTCCTGTGCCAGCTTTCTTGCAGTAAAGCTGTATTTAAATTGTCTTGTTTAAAATACTTACAGAATTTTAAATTTCTGAGTGTTTTCTGTAAGATCAGTGAATTTTTACTTTTGTTTTCAGAACATAGTTGTGAGTACCTTCATGGAACTGAATAATTTTAGAAATGATTTTTTAAAAATACATGTTTCTATGTGGTGGTTTGGGGATTTTTTTGTTTTTAATTTATTTTTTAACCAGCTAAGCTGTGGTATCACATAACTGGAATCTCCTTCTTCATACAGAAACCTCAGAGGAAAGCCCTGAAAACCAGAGGAATGTTAACCCTGCAGGAAATCAAAAACATCCACGTGAGTAAAAGCAATAATTTACAAACCCTTCTTTTGGCTGGCTTCCCTTAAATATCCATCTGGATGACAGAGCACCTGCCACAACAAGTGTGCTGAGCACTAAATTATTACAGCACTTTTGGAGCTGTCCAGGAGGGATTTGAGGTATAAATCTGATCTCAGAGCTCCACATTCACTCTGGAAAGCAGGAGAAGGTGTAAAATTGGCCATCTTTGGTTGCTGTAATGGCCTTTTCATTTTCTTTTATCTATTTGAGTTTGTAAGGACTGTCCCTACAGGTGTTTAATTTAAATTCTTTTCCTGCTGCAGGTGAAACGCCACTTGGATCCACTCCCAGCTGGTTATTTTTACAATGGGACTCAATTTGTGAATTTTTTTGGTGACAAAATGGATTATCATCCATGTATCCTTTAAAATGGGGGGTTTTGGGGAAGGTTTTAGGTAGGCAATGAACTGTGCAGCTCTGAAATGTTGAGTGCCAAAGCAGATATGGTAAAGAACCAGTTCCTTGCCAGCTAAAGCTTAGTTTTAAAGCCTTTCTTGAGAGATAAGATCTCAGAAACAGAATAGAACCAACAAAACAAACCCCAAACTGCCCATGAGCTCATGCAGGGAATAATTTATGGACCACAGCTTGTCAAAAAAATATTTTTCAAACCAAATAGCGCTGTAATAGCACTGAATGCCTGGGCACGACTGATAAAACTTCCAAATGAATGTAATTTCATGTGTGCACACACTCCAGTGAAAACAATCATATTTTTGTCCTTAGTTTTACCCTGGAATTCCTTGCCAAGGTTCCTCTTGTCCTTGGTCACCACCTGGGGACCTGGCTCAGTGGTGGCCGTGGCTGTGCTGGGTTAACAGCTGCCCTTGGTGATCTCTGAGGGCTTTTCCAGCCTAAATGATTCTGTGATTCTCTCATTTTCATAACTTCCTGTTGCTTTTGTCTTTGCTCACCAACTTCCAAATTGGTTTTATATCCCCAGTTTAGTTTTCACAGTAACTTCTCCAAACTTGGTAAAAATCCAGGTGATGCTGCTTTGGAATAAGAGCAGAATTATTTCCTGTGTCCTGTGGGACAACTTGAAAATTTTAAGCAGATTTCTGTCTGCAGGACACAAAACCCGACAGCAAACTTGGACTTCAGTGGAAAATTCTTGATGCCCCATCTCTGGAAGCATCCAAGGCCAGGTTGGATGGGGCTTGGAGCACCCTGGGATAGTGGGAGGTGTCTCTGTCCATGGCAGGGGGTGGGATGAGATGAACTTTAAGCTCCTTCCACCCCAAACCATTCCAAGATTCTTCACTCCACCTCCCCCTTGGTGTTTGGCAGGGAAAGCTGCAGTCCTGGTTAAGCCTTTCTGGGGGATTTGAGTTTTGGGCAGAGTTCTAAACTTTTAAACAGCTGGAAATGTGTTCAGAGTCCCAGAATGGTTTGGGTTGGAATGGACCTTGAAGCTGATCTCATTCCAGCACCTTCCAGGGATGGGGAGTCCAAAACCTCTTTGGGTAACCTGTGCCAGGGCCTCACCACCCTCCCAGGGAAGAATTTCTTCCTAACATCCCATTTAACCCTGCTATGGTTTTGCTGTTCTTAGATCTTCCTCTTGACTGGGAAATATCCCTTGTGCTGCTCCTTTATTCCCTGAGTTGGGGTAGCTCTGACTTCTAGAACTAGAAGTTCTGGAGAACTTCTCTAGAACTTCCAGAAAGTAATATACTGAATTTCTGCTTTCACTGAGTGTCCCACAACTGGCACTTCCTTCAAACCTGGATGTTCTTTTCTACTAAACTCCATTTGCACAAATGTTCTTCCTTCACCTTTCCCAACCAGTAATGGACCAGTTCATGAATGATTACTTGGAAGAAGCCAACAGGGAAATTGAGAAGTACAACAGGGAGCTGGAGGAGCAGGAGTACCACGACCTCTTTGAGCAGAAGATTTAAGCACGTGGATCCTGAGTGTTCCTGTCCTTGTGTCAGGAACCAAAAATGCTCTTTTGTCCTTCTGGCTCACAAGAAATCAAGTGAAATGTTTGTTTTCAGCACTCCTTCCCAAACCAAGGGATTGTTCCCCTAAGGTTGGCATTTAACATGGTAACTGCTTAGCTGTTTGTACTGTCAGGATTGCTTCCACTTCACCTTAATTCCAGACTGTCCAAAGCATCACCTGGAATCTCTGGCTTGTGGTGGAAACGTGGGAAAAAGAAGAAGAAGGAGGAGAAAAGAAGCAAAACTGGATTTATTTCCTAAAACAAGGTCAGAATGTAATTGTGGAATTGGGCCATGGTGCAGATATCAAACAATTCCTGGGTGTCCCTTGGAAATCGTTGCACAGGAGCATTGATGGTCGGGGGGAGCTCAGGATGTGGG